CTGGAGGAATCGGAAGATGACGTTGTTCTAGCTTTGTACGCCGACGACAGTGCGTACTTCGCGTCATCACGTCGGGTGGACATAGCTGCCAAAAAGTTGCAGCGGGTACTCGACCTCTTGCCTGAGTGGCTGGACAAATGGAGGCTGGAGGTCAACGTCGGGAAGACCAGGCTTCATGACCAGGCTGGCCAGAACGCCACCAACTCTGCAACTCCGCGGGCAGGATGTGGGTTGGAGTAGTACCATTACATATCTAGGATGCCAGATAGATCGCTCGCTGCGCATGACCCCTATGGTCAATCATGTCGTAAGACAGGCCAGAGTCGCGCGAGCAAAACTCTATCCTATACTGGCATCCAAACTTCCAACTAAGACCAAGATCGGTATATACAAAACCAACATCCGCTCACGGTTCACCTACGCAGCACCAGCCTGGTACGCGTTGACCTCGGCTACTCAACGCAAGAGGATGCAAGCCCAGCAAAATCTTGCGCTTCGGGTGATCGTGGGAGCCGGTCGCTACGTAAGGAATGATGTTATGGCCTACGGCTGCTCCCTTAAAGGGTCCAATCCTCTGGGGCCCATGAGCAGAAGACTTCCCGAGCAGACGTAGGTCGGGCCTCAATGTGGCCACGTGGAATCTCTCTAATTACACTAAATATATGGGGGAGCGTTCTATACTACGGCCAGTCAACCGGCAGAGGAATTAGGCGAAGATTACTTACCTATATCCAAGGCGACTGGTCCCTCCGGAGTCGGTCAGGTCGCATGTGGTTGTGTAGTGCAAGGGAAATAAAGTGATGTGATGTGTATCTGGGTGTGACTGATGGTGATTGAACCTAGACCTTGACCGTCGGCAGCAGCCCGAGCGTCGACACCGCTCCAACTTGAGGGGGCCTTCCGAGGTTGTCCACAGTCACTTTCCTCTTTCGTCACGATGACAGTCAATTAACTCTATCGTACGATTAACTAACTTACAGAAGCCACTAACTATCGCTGGGTATAAGGTTAACTCACAAAACGCACACGGAGTTTACAGATCAAAGGTCACTACCGTTTCGCGTAGTAACAGTTAGTTCTAGAATATCAGGCCGCACTAGCTAATATTGCCGAACGCACTTATACAGATTCTGAGTCGGACCCAATAAGTCCCTGGGAAGCTCTCCAGCTAGGAATACGCGCCATAAATCCTAGACCGTATATTTACGGGCCACTCCTAATTATTCCGAGTTCCCTAACAAAATTGACCGCCTGCTCACGTCAGCACCGCTTACAGACGACTCACTGCCCTTGGGCGTTTTACGTACGACCGAATGTCAAACCGGAATGACACTGAGCCGCGCGCCCTCTCGCGTTCGTTCTTGAAATTAGCGTTTAGCGCGAACAAATGATATCATCTCTCGCGACCTCAAGGTCGAATCCATCCAAGATTTTGTGGTTCGTTCTACGAGACGGTTGTACGACCGCGCAGACAACGGACCACATCCCCATTTACAGAATTTAGCTCCGCTCCACGCCCGCCCACCTGACGGGCGACCACTCCCACGTGAAATTCTACGCTCACTGCCCGGCACAGGGGACGCCGGGGGTGAGTGAGCGTCCCGACACTCGACTTGATGGCGCGAGGTGCGCAATACACCAACATAAAAGCTGCCAACGCAGCACCCAGGACCGGGGGGTCGTGTCCTCCTGAGATGCCGCCCATGTAAAGAGGGTCTCCTCGACATATGAAAACCTCCACAAGGAGAAGAACCACCACATACAAATCGTTCGGGACCAGCTACCAGTATAATATATAATCAAGAAAGAAAACGTATAGGGAAGTGATAGGGAAAGTAATTACTCTCTCACGGAGCGGTTTGAAGATAATTGCTGTTTTATTCCCAAGGGATCCTTCACCTTTAAATATAACTACAGTCCATCTGGTGTCGCTAACGCGGCACATATTGAAGAATTAAGGCGCTGGGACCGGGACGACCTTGGACGACCCGTAATCCCCGCCTGAACCTATTTGAAGAAAGGGAAGCCGCCAACACCCTTGTGTGATACTCCTTCACGAGGTTCACACACGTTGTTCCCGAACCCAACGTAGGTGTTATAGGAGGTTACGGAATCTGCTGTTGAACGCGCCATGTTCAATTGCTCTTCCGTGGCCAGATTAGAAACCGTGTTCCTTTTTAAGCGGTTCTTCGCAGCCGGACCAAGAAGCCGGACGCGGTTGTCCTTTTCAAGTGGTCCTTCGAGTGCCGAATTAGGAATGACGGAAGGACTGGGCGGCGGGTTCCTTTTCAAGTGATTAATGAATGATGGATTAATGAACCAGCTGTGAGCTGCTGGATACCATTCAAGTGGATCTTCGGAGCCGAGTGAAGATCAGCGAACGAAGGAAGCCGGAGGTTTGAGCTGAGGCAACAGGACCAAAGGCAAGAAGACCAGGCCAGCGCAGTAGACCCATCAGGGCTTAGGCAGTACCGGACCTGGAATTAAAAAGCCAGACGCAGGTGCCTTTTGAAGGCGCTCATCGTAGCCAAGCAGGGCTTGGCATCTTTCCTGTCGGGCAAGCGTGCTCGGCATTTTCGGTCAGACGACCGTTTACGGCATTTCCTGTCGGGTCATCAGGCTCGGCATTTCCTCTACGGGGATTGTGTTTTCATTTCCTGTAGCGCTCAAAGGGGTTTGGTGTTTTCTGTTACCAGGCGGGAGCGCTCACTGCTGCCAGGCAAGGGTGCAAAAAAGAAGAGGACGCACTCATTGTTGCCAGGCAAGGGTGCAAGAAAGAAGAAGAAGCATCCACCGCTGCTGCTGCCAGGCGAGGGTGCTCGTGTGGGTACCTGACTGCATCGCAGCCGAAGGAGGGCGCCTGGACGAGGCGTCACCGGCAACTGGGCGGCGAGCACAGCATACATCATGACCCCTAACGGTGCCAAGGGTCGGGCTCTGGCACAAAACCTTCGGGTGGAGCAGTTCTCTCGAGCGACACTGCGCTTGCACTACTAGCTCGACTGTTTCGCAATATTCCTTGGCGGCACAGTTCCTGAACCTTTCCTCCATTCCATTCCTGCACGACTCCATCCCTGGATGGCTCAACACGGTAGGCCCCCGTCCAGGATTGATAGGGCTGTTAGGGTGGGAGTAGGGTTTTAGGGTTGGGAGATAAAGGGGGGAGGGGGTAGTGGGGTTAGGTTGGGGTGTAGAAGGGTTGTAGGTTGGGATTGTAGAGACCATAGGGACCGTAGGGACTGTAGGGACCGTAGGGACTGTATGGACCGTAGGGACCGTAGGGACAGTTAGGGACCGTAGGCCAACAATCAACTTCCTGCAAGATGAAGAAGGCACAAGACCAGACCGAGAGGAGCGAGGGAACCAGGACAAGGACAGGGCTCTCAAGAAAGGCTAAAGAGGCGGAATCATCTGGAGCGACCACAGCTACTGCTTCGAGTGGGACAACTCCTTCAAGTGAGTGACAACTCCGATACGTCCACAGGCACATGGACTCAGGGGCGTCCGTGGCAACGACAAGCAACAGGACGGACACCAGTGGTACGCAGACCAGCACCGCACAGAAATCCGTTATATCCAGGAGTGAAACGATAGTCGAAAAAGTAGGTCAAGGGACCGAAGAAGCGGCATCGTCAAGAACAGTAGTCGGGCACTCTAGTGACAAATGGTCACAGAGAGGTTGTAGGTAGGTACTAGATTAAATTGGAACGCTCAGAGCTCGAACGAGCACAGGCAGCTGCTGCCTTAGCCAAGTCTCAATTGGAGTTGGCACGTCTCAACCGAGAAGAAGAAATCGACTCGAGTGAGTATGATGAAGAGCGGAGTACTCAGGTGGAACTTTTCGTAAGGAGTTGGGTTCAACAGACCATAATGAGCGCGTTGATTAGTGTAACGCAACCCGACATTACTGATAAGGGAGCGTGTAAGGGATCACGCCGCAAAGGGGCGGAGGTCGAGCGCAACCTAGGAAATGCACAGAAGGCACACGCGTGTGAGGTGTCAGAATTGACCGAAGCGATTGTGAGTGCAATAAAGATAGCGGGTAAAGATAAGTTTTCCCAGCTTCATTTCCTCCAGGAATTACCGGTCTTCGATGGAGTCCCGGGTGAATGGATAATTTTCAAAACGGTGTTTGAAGACACAAGAAGCCAATTTTCAATGGTGCAGAATGTTGCACGCCTTAGGAGGGCATTAAAGGGCACCACTAAGGAGGCGGTTAAGTCATTGTTGTTTACTTTGTGTGAACCTGAAGAAATAATGAACGCTCTCGAAAGAAGATTCGGTAGGGTTGAGATGCTCATTCTAGCCGAAATCGAGAATGTAAAGCGTATGCCAATATTGGGAGAAGATTGCAGAAATATAGGTTCATTTGCAAGTCGCATTACGAACGTGGTTGCTGCAATACATGTGCTGAACTAACCACAGTATTTTTACTCACCGGATTTGGTAAGCCGTATAGTAGAGAAGCTTAGAACTATGATTAAATTTAAATGGTTTGAATACCGGTCTCAACATCCTATGGAGCCAGAGCTACAAAAGATGGCCAAATTTTTGAATTAATTGAGTGAACAATTTGGAACGTCATTAAGCAATGAAAACGTGCCTGAAAAACGGAAACTTCAGGAAGCAAACCGTACACACTGCAAAGGGGTCTATACGCAACCGTTTTAAGAGCGAGCGTTAAGAACGCCGAAATAATAAAGGGCACAACCGACAAGTGGTTATGATAACCCAGGATAAGCCTGTAAGTCGAGTAACACATAAGTGTGTTATATGCAACAAGGAACACTCTATAGTGAGTTGTTACAAATTTAAGAACATGAATAATCGCGAAAAATGGGAAGCGGTTAAAAAGGCGAAAATATGTTTCCAATGTTTGTCACCTAACCATAGGAGGTTGGAGTGCAGAGCGAAAAAATGTGGTGTAGATTGATGTAGAATGGCACATCACCGAATGCTATATCGATACACCAATAAAAATACCTCGCCGCAAGGGGCGAGGGGGGTAAAGAGGCCCAAATTACAACTGTTACATATAGTACAGTAAATGCACTGGCATGTGCATATTTAAAAATTATACCGGTCGAGTTGTATGGACCTAGAGGAAAGTTCAAGACCACAGCTCTTCTGGATGAAGGATCAACCATGACACTCATAGAGGAGTGGATGGCTCAGAAATTAGCGCCTCGCGGACCCAAAGAAGAATTACGTATTGAGGCCGTAGGAGGCAAGCGAATCAACGACAACAGTTCGTATCGCTTAAATATTAAAATCAGTGGCATTTTCTCGAGCGACTTATAGGAGATAAGTGTACAAACAATTAAGTCACTTAACCTTTCTCCGCAGTTGGTGGGCCGAGAATTATTGCAACGGTGTTGTCATTTGACACCGATTAAGGACGAGTTGATTTATGAGAGGTCCAGACCTACCAGATTAATTGGCCAGGACAATTGGCATCTCATGAATTACTCGTGAATTAATTTCAGGAGGTAAGAACCTACCTGTAGCATCGCTCACCAAACTTGCATGGGTTTTACATGGTCACATATCGGGTGGCATTAAACGAATCAAGATTGTTAACCACATTTCCACCAAGAAGGAGGAGGACATGGAGAAGTTAATCAAGGATTATTTTAGTTTGGAATCTTTGGGGGTGTCTGCGCGTAAGCCCGCAAACGACCCAGAAGAACGAGCTTTAAATATTTTGAACAAATCGGTACGTCGTATACCTAATAATAGGTACGAGACTGCTTTGTTATGGCGCACAGATAATGAGTGCATGCCATCGAATAGAGCGCAGGTTGAAAGTCGCCTGTTTAATATCGAAAGGAAGCTCGATAAAAATAGCGAGTTGAAAAAAGAATATGAGAAGCAAATTGAAAATCTCATCGTTAACAGTTACGCAGAGAAAGCGAACCATATTTCCATTTCCCCACGAACGCGGTATCTTCCTCACTTCGCAGTGGCTCACCCACAAAAAAGGAAAATAAGAATAGTTTTCGACGCCGCCGCAAGGACGGACGGACGTTGTCTCAATGATGCATTGTTAACCGGACCGGACTTATTGAAGTCGTTATTTGGCGTTCTGCTACGATTCAGAGAAGGAAGCGTGGCAGTAATGGCGTGATTCTTATGGCGGCACAATCGTGACGCGCCACCGGAAGAGTATAGAATGACGTCACTCATATTTGGAGCGGCATCATCGCCATGCATCGCTATATATGTGAAGAATAGAAATGCGCAGGATAACGCACATCTCTATCCAGAAGCAGCTTTCGCGACGGAAAGCAATTTCTATATGGATGACTATCTACAGGCATTTCCCGACCTGACGACGGCCGAAAGGATAGTAAACGATATGTATGAATTACATAAACGTGCTTCTTTCCAGCTAAGGGGATGGGCTAGCAACCGACCCGAGGTTTTATGTAAAATGGAAAATAAATATAAGAGCGACAGTGTTTCGTTGGGAGATAAGGAGCACACAGAACGCACTTTAGGTTTGATCTGGAATATCAAACGAGATATAATAAGTTTCTCCATAAGTCTTTGTAACACACCGGGAGAGTTGATGGAAGGTTTACGACCGCCTACGAAGAGGGAGATAACGAGCGCTGTGATGTCAGTCTTGATCCTTTAGGACTCGCATCACCCATAACGATTCAAGGGAAGTCGCTAATGCAGCAAGCATGGAGGACAGGCATCTCTTAGGATGAACAAGTTCCACACGAATTACACGTGTTATTATTTTGTAAATGGATATCGGAAGTGAAGAAATTAGGTCATTTAGAAGTACCTAGACCCGTTGCCGAAGGTGTTGGCAGGGGGGAGTTACACACTTTCACGGATGCTAATGAGAAAGCCTACGCCGCCGCGGTGTATTACGTCACCACGGACGAGGTCTTGATAATAGATCATTCGTTGCCACGAAATACGTGGCCGAAAGGCAAGATTAATAGGACGCTACCGGGACCAGACGGTCACACTAGAGTGGTTGACGTCATTACTAGCACAGGAGGCCTACTCTCTTTCTCCGAAACGAAACTTCGTTAACGAACGAAATTTAAACGAAGTTTCGACGCGCACGCAAAGTTCGAGTCCAAAGACAATTTTCGTGAACGAATGGAACGAACAATGTTATGTATTTTACGAATTTATTAAAATAATCGTGGTTTTTTATGCATATTATTCCAAAAAATCTTACACAAGCAATAAATATACAAGTTTTCGAAGAAAATCACAGTGACACTAAAATAACCCTTTCAATGACCGTTAACCGACTAAGTTAAGGTGTACAATAATAACAAACGGTGTTTATAGTATCCTATAACAACCAAACTTATCCGTATTATCACAATGCTGTCAGTCATCACTTGTGGATTTTTTGTTTGCATTCTTTGAAAGTTTGAATAGTTTTAAGTTTGTTTCTCAAGCTCAAGTGTAAGACGTAGGTAGAGATTCTTTCCTGTGTGCTCAAGTGAAGAGTTATTAATATGTTTTGTTTTTTTCTTTGCCTACTTTGCAAACGCGATACACATTCCCTGACAAAGTTTCAATTTCAAGTCGCAGTCTTCATATGGGCGTCCTTTGGTCCACAAAGACTTCTATTTGGTTTAATTTGGTTTTATATTCAGAAAGAGTGTAAGTAATGTTAATTGTTTTGCACTTATAATACTTCCATAACATATTTTTTTGTAATAATAGGTACCTATAATTTATTTTCATCTCATCTTTCAGTGTAAAATAATGGCTCCACATACGGGTTCGGCTACTCCTGAACAAATTGATGCACTCCTCAATTTCCTGGACGAGCATAGGGATCTTGCTCGCGGGAGATTGAGGAGTCTAGAAGGAAAAGTCCAGGCGAAGAGGCTGTGGGATGAATTGTGCAATACGCTCAATTCCATGGGCGGTTGCACAAAGACAGTTCAGCAGTGGCAAAAGGTAATTCGTAGTAATATAATTAAATGCTTAAGCTATTTATCAGTGAAAAGTGAGTGACAAAGATTTAATATTTACTTTTATTTTGGATAGGTATGGTTTGATAGAAAACATCTGGCCAAAAAAGCCGCTGCTGATTCCCGGAGGTCGGCTTCAATGACTGGAGGTGGTCCATCAGTGGCACCCCAACTCTCCCATTCGGAATTAAAAGTCTTATCCATAATGGGAGATGGGTTCGGTGACCGCCAAATTGGAGCCAGAGTGCCAGCTTTCACTGAAGTAAGTACCTCATCATTCTTTGGTTTCCCTATTTCTAAACTTTGATATGTTCAAATATTTATCTTAATGATATATGATTTTTATTTACAAAATTATTTTTCTATGTGAGTATGCTACTTTTTTTAACCCATCAGGTAAAAATACAATACAATTTGTATTGTGGTAGACATTAAAAATTAATACTTCACTTAAACATTAAGCATTCAATCTTTTATATTCATTTCAGACGAATGAATCCAGACCATCAACCTACAGTCTAGGAAGCCAACTGCAGCAGCAGAGCCTGGACTTGCATGTAGAAGTTGAGGAGTACGCCGACCCAAGCAAAGAAAGCCAGCAGGTCTACTCTAATTCAACGAAAAACGAAATTTCGATCGAAATTGATACACAAGACAGGTATCTTGAGGAGACCTACATCCAGAATAATAGTCCTGGTACCCACGACGCCTCCCAAATTATGGTGCTGATGCACGGGGAGGGGGGGGGGGGAGATTGTTGGCGACACGTCTATAAAAAACATTTCAATTTATTAGTTTACCGATTACGGATGGTATCTAAAATCAAAATTATCAAGCAATAATAATCTTATAATAAAACGCTTAGTTAAATCTTAAAGAAATATCGAATTAATAATTTGAAGGTCTTGGATTCGATTCCCAAGCCGGACTAGTTCGTCGTTTTCTTAGTAATATTTTCTTAATAAATTCATATAGGGAATGTTTAAGATGTAAATTATGTTTCCGGGTTCAGTTCCCCGGTTGAAATTACCTTTTCAATGATATTGTTAATTTAAAGAAATATTAAAATAAAGTTGGAGACCAGGATTTGTTCCCAGGTCGAAATGATCACTTTGTGTATAAGTGGAACTAATGTAAAATATTGCATATATTATCTTATATAAGTTGAATACATTTTGTATGAAAAATAAAATGTCTATTTTCAATGTTTGATTCATAAAATATTTTCTTTGTGTTATCTGATAAGTATGTGATAACTGATAAGAACTTTGATAACTGATAAGAGATTCTTATTAGATACTACCTACGTGTCGTGTTACAATACGACAATGGAGGTCGTGCAGGGATTGATTGCTCACTTTGTGCTGGTTGACAGCAGTAAATTTGCACCCTGCTTTACCGACATTGGGGGGTCGTGTAAAGATTAGTTGTTCACTTAGCTGCAGATAACAGCAGCGTGCTAATCTGTAGAATTAAAAGTTTAAATAAGTGGAAATTTAAATGTTTGTAAATTTGAGCAATCCATGTAAAATTGACTTGAAAAATGTTTCAGGTTGACTGTATGAGCAAAATAAGTGAATTCTGTGTGAATTCCTAATGTTAATTCTCTTATCTTAGTGAAATATTGAAAGTTTTATATAAGAAATTTAAAAGTGTTTTTATAGTAAAATGTGTAGAAAAAATGTAAATTAAACTATTGTATTATTTAAGATATTTGTATTTTCAAATAAAGAATATTGTTCCAACCTAATATGTTAGATATTTGAGAATTCTAACTAGGTACATATGTTGTAAAATAGACATATTTTGTTGATTAAATAAAAGGTTTTTTGTGATATAAAAATGTAATGTATATCATAGTATAGAATTTTTTTATGCTATATTTATAAATAAAATGTATAAATGTATGTCTTATACAAATAAAGATATTGGGCAAACCGTGAGGGAGTGATAGTACAAATTGATGTAATTGAGTTGCGAAATCGTACAGAGGGCGTGGCTCTCTTTCGAGTATAGCTTTATTGATACCCCATTATACTGGTTTTCATACAAATTCAATGACCAAGGATCTCCTAAGTGTGTGTTGTTTGTGGATTATACAGTGGTCCCAATCAACCGCCGGTACGACATAATCCGCTAAGCGTCGAGTCCGCATACTCCGCGAGGCGTCGAGGTCACCGGCCCTTAGGTAGATTCTTGGCACTCAAGAGCGTTCCGTGCCTTGCAGTGTCGAGTCGCGTAATTGAGTGCCCTCTAGCACTTCCCCCAACCCTTTCGTTGTGAAAGGGGTAGGCAGTGCGCCCAAGTGTTGCGGTCGTCATCTTCGCTCCCATCTTTACCTCGCGGCGCGCACTGAGTCAACCTGCTAGGTAAAGTATATAGACGTAAGACACACGTACACCAACCAAACAAAACAGTTGTAACATGACAGGCAGGGGAAAGGGGGAGCCCCACCCCCCCCACCCCCTCGTGTTAGGAAACCTCCGGATCGCCCGGGGGTATTGGACAGACCAGTTCTGGTTAGGGACCTCGCGAACCCGGAACGCTCCAGGATTGTGAGCTCCTTTAGCCACATCCCTAAAACCATCAGGAAGCCTACTTCGCCGCCTAAGGAGCCCGCATCGAGCGCCGCGCTCTCGCTCACCGCGCCTGAGTGCACGAGCGAACGAGAACCGTCGCCCCAACCGCAGCGGGCGAAGAAATCGGCCAGGAGGCACACACCACCGGAGACGGAAGCATCCCTATACGAGAAGAGGCAATGCGTCGTGTCTCCTAACTCGTCTGCACCCACATCGTCCGACGACGAAGAAGAGCAACTTCCAGCGGTGGAAGTTAGGAAATACAACTCGCCGCCAAAATCACCATCTCCGCGTAAACCAACCCCTCAAATCTCCCCTGACCGACGTAGCAACGCGGTCGGGTACGAGCAGGGGGGGGAGGAATTATACGGCTGGGATAGCACTACATATGCTACCCTAGCATCCACGGAAGGACAACAAACTAACCCGTCTGGATTACCAACGGACGATGGACAACGTCCATCCACTAGCTACGCACAACTGGCAGCAGCCCCAGCAGTACCAAGGCAGGCTGCAGACGTACCACCGAAGCCAACAGAAGACGCCGAGAAGGGCAGATACCCGCCAATCGTCGCAGAGTGCCTCCCGAATTGGACGAAGCACTTTGAGGTGCTCAACAAGAAGTTGGGTCATCCTCCGAACGCTCGTCCATTCGGTAAGGGGGTGCGCTTCTCCCCCCAGAGCCCGGAAGAATTCCGGGCCATTCAGAAAGACCTCATCGAGCTATCAAAAGAAATACCAGCCATGTCCTGGTACTGCTACACTCCCGAAGAAGAGAAGCCTACAAAAGTAGGCATCAGGGGACTGCCAGTAGACACGGACACTGAAGCAATCGGGGAGGCTATCAAAGCACTCGGATTCCCAATTCGTTACGTGAAGGCAATCCCACCGCGCAGAGGCAGGCCGGGATGCCTATACTTCGCGCAACTGGACCACCTAAGCCATGAAAGGCTAAACGACCTGTATAACATTAATCAACTTTTATACATGAGAGGAGTCGTTATTGAAGCCTGGCAGGGACGAGTAGGCCCAGCACAGTGCCACCGCTGCCAGGCGTTCGGTCACGCCTCCTTCAACTGCTTTCGACCAATCAAGTGCGTCCGTTGCGCGGGTGAACACGCCGCAAGGGATTGCACAAGGGGTAGAGAGGAACCGCCAACATGCGCAAATTGTGCAAAACCACACACCGCCAACGATCGTCGATGTCCGGTCTTGAGGAGAATCGCACGGAAGCAAGGCATAACGCTTCCCGGTTTGCTTCCGGAAGCGCCGAAGCCGATTCCGGAGAGTCGCCCGAGAACCGTCCAAGTCAACGAAGAGGGGTGGACAACCATAAGGGGGAAGGGGGGAAGGCAAACAGCCCCCCCACCACCCCCCCCTCAGCAGCCACAACAACCGATGGAAATCGTAGAGCCACCACAACAAGGAGCAACCCCCGGAGCGACTCCAGCCCCCCGCAAATGATGCTACTGAGCGTCTTGCACCTAAGAAGAAAAAGCGGGGGAGAAAGAAGAAAAACCAAACACAGCCTCCTCAAGTCGTTACCTCTACCCCCACCCCAGCGGTCACGATAGCCTCCCAGGCGCAGGTTACCGCCAAGGACACTAAGATTACCGTAGGTAGAGCACCAGAGAGGGCTCTACCGGAACATAGAGCCCGCTGTACAACTAGAGCACGCTCTACCGTACGAAGAATGACCCAAAACCAGCCGAGACAAGAGCCAACCTCACAAAGAATACCACCAGCCGGCCCTGGCTATACAGATGCCATTCTTAGATTGGTTGGCATAGCCATTGAGGTCGGCACGCAAGTCCTGGCCGATATAAGAGCCGGGACGGATCCAATTACTGCGATTATGAGAGCGTTGGCGCAACTACTTGCTCGGCATTACAGAGGCGAGTAACCTGCGCCTATTATATTGGAATCCAGACGGGATACAACAGAGGATCCATGAACTCCGCACTGTCGCCCAGCAGCAGGATATACAGGTGACATTGCTGGGAGAGACAACACTGAATCCGAATACGCATCTCAAGCTGCCAAACTATTTTATATACAGAAGGGACGAGGTCAATCCTCGAGGGACCGCCTACAGAGGCACGGCGGTTCTGGTGAGGAGAGACATCGTCCATCAAGAACTGGACCTACCACCATATGAAACGATGCGCTCTATCGGCATAAAAATGGAGGCGGCGGGCGAGGAACTAAGGATCTACGCAGCATACCGCCCGCCAGGGACTCCATTCTGCTCCTCAGACATCCGGACGGTAATGGAAGGCGATACACCAACCATCGTCGCGGGGGACCTAAACGCGAAACACCCGGCGTGGGGCTCCAGAGTGATCACCCCGCCGGGTCGTGAACTATATGACGACGCCGAGAGACACGGCTACGACGTTTTAGGTCCCGAAGAACCTACACACGTTCCTACGGATCACCGAAGATGTCCGGATGTATTGGACATCGTGCTCTCTAGGAACGTCAACTACCCGGTAGTGGTAGAGGTGCTGTACGACCTGATGTCTCAGCACTTCCCGATTCTCATTACCATTGGCCTCAGGGCAGTGACTACGCCGCCCGGAGCTATTAAGAGAAAGATCAATTGGAGGCTCTACCAAAAATATCTAACGGAGAGACCTCCAATCTACACCCCTATTAACACAGCGGACGACGTAGAGGCCGCTGCAACAAGAATAACAAAGACGATTAAAGAGGCTCTACACGCGGCCTCTACGATCGTCCCGACTACAGGAAGACGGGAAGAGCTGCCGCGAGAGATATGCGTGCAGCTCAAACGCAAAAGAGCACTCAGGAAACTCTGGGCGCGTACTCGCTGTCCAAGATTGAAAACTCAATTGAACAACTTATCGGATGAACTGTCGGTTGCAGTCCGGGCCCACCGTGGAGAGGCCTGGGAGCGGCGCATATCGCAAGCAGAGGAGGAAGATGCGTCGCTCTACAAACTGAACCGGCAGTTAACTAAGACCAGACCCCCCGTTTGCCCGCTGACCAACAATGCGGGCGAACGTTGTTACGAGGCCAAAGGTAGAGCGGATATCCTAGCAGAGCACTTCGAGGAGCAATTTATGCCGAATCCAGCAAGTGCGGAGTTCATGGAACTACATACCCGGAAGGAGAGCCGCGTACAGGAGTTTCTGTCGAAGCCCGCGCCACCGCTTGCAGGAGAGTGGTTTATATCCCCCGCCCTATTGCGGAGGACAGTAGCCCGCCTGCAACCCAGGAAGGCGCCGGGTCACGACAGGATAACCAACGCAGCACTTCGACAGCTGCCCCATAGAACACTTGTAGAGTTAGGTCGACTCTACAACGGTATACTGCGGACATCCCACTTCTCGGAGGACTGGAAAATCGGCAAAGTAATCGTTCTGCCGAAACCCGGGAAGGACAGACGTAGAGCAGCCAGTTATAGGCCGATCACGCTGCTACCGCACCTAGCTAAAGTGTTCGAAAGATTGCTGCTGAGAAGCTTCCGCCCGTGCGTACATCTTCGGGCGGAACAGCACGGATTCAGGAGGGGCCACTCTACAGCAACACAGCTGACCAGGGTGCTGCACTATTTGGCGGCCGAGTACAACCGCGGCCGCACATCGTTGGGCGTCTTTCTCGACATAGAGA